TGTTATTTGAATATTTCGAGTTTGTCCAAACTATCATCAAAATATCAACTTTTCATGAATTGAGAGTACTGATGTACTTAATTTCAATTAAGGCTATGTTTTGGACCATATTTAGCACAATTTATTTTTTATCTCGAAAACAGATAGAGATAGGTATAGGACATTATTAACAAAAAAGTATTAAAATACTAGAGCGATTCCAAAAATGTATTAATATACGGGGTGTTCCATTTAAAAAAATATAATTGCTAGAACTTTTTGATAGAAGTGGCAACGCCGCAATGCTGGAAATATTTTAGATCGATAGAACAGGTAAGGAAATGTGAAAGGTGAAATTTTCAGAAAAATCATGCTTTGCGTTTTCCAGAAACGTCTAACCTACCATCGACCGTGAGTCACGTTGTATATCTAAAGTGGGTCAAAGAGACCCACACCCCAAATCGGTACGACAATCAGCCTCACATCCTTCCTGTTGAAAGGACTTGAGAGGATACTGGACTGACACATCGGGAGGATGTTATTATATGCTTTCCCCCCAAATAACCACAAGTATGCATATCAGGGTCACGAGAGGCTGCCCTCAAGGTGGGGTACTATCTCACCTTCTGTGGTCGCCCCTTGATGCCCTCGACAGAAGAAAAGTAGATCTGCAAGCTTATGCAGATGATCTTGTCATCTTGGACTACAGTGGGGATGAACTACGATGTCTAATAGACCTTCTAACAGGCCACTATTATTTTCTTCATCATATGCAGACGCTCGGACTGTCAGAAGACAGTGTGTGTTGCCTCTGTTTGAAAAACAGTATAGCAAATACTTTGTGCCTGCCCGCTGGAGGCTAAATCAGGTTTTAAGAGTTTGGCGGAGCCGGACTCTTACCATCTGACCTGGAAGACCACTCATCATACAATCTAATAAGCTTCGTTAAGAAGCTGGGTTCATTTGATCGAGTGTAAATAACTGTGAGCCACAATAAACCTTTGTAGGTTGCGGTGGAGGGTTGAATAGAGCCACTCACTTTGGACCTAACCTAACCT